ATGCATGCATGCATACCTACATACCTACATACATGCATGCATACATACATGCATACATACATGCATACATACATGCATACATACATGCATACATACATACATACATACATACATGCATACGTAATATATGCACACACACACACACGTATACATGCAGGCCTAGCATCGCGTGGCCACATGTGTACACACAGCCAAATACACGAAACTCCGAAGCCTACACCATGCAACTCTGAACGCTTGCGACCTCCACGGAGCACTGGTCGCGAATGAATCCGAGCAGCTCCTGTCACTATCTGCGGATCAAGATGAGGCTTACTGCTCAGCCGCCCATGTAGAAGCATTAGTGCGCTGCGTGTCATGTTTTACAGCACTGGCAGGTTGAAACCTGAGTTCAGCCCTCAGATGCCTAGACCCCTAATTCACGGAGTTCACACCAAGCCCGTGGGGGAGCGCACTGGCCTCCTTCAGAAGCTTGGCCGCAGAGTTCAAAGCCTTCCTGTGCTTCCAAAGATTTGTTTAGGGACTCTTCTCCCTTACCCTAAACCCGAAAGCCTATTGATCCGCCTCTTAGAATCGGAAGCTTCCTAGCAGCGAGCATTGATGGCCCCTCTGTGACTGGAGCTTCAGATGGTTGGAGCAAGCATTTTTGGAGGCTGCAGTGTTCCTTTCGGGCCAGTTTGCGGTTGAGATGTTGACATTTAGCATCGGCTACCGGGCTGGAAGAAAAACCCGTGCCCGGGAGAGAAGGTTTTTTAAGACCCTGTCCACGTTGGTGGGGCGGAGGGCTTTCTTCGGACGAAGCTGCCGGGCCTACCCAGGGCAGAGAAAGAGCCTTTCCGACAGTACCCAGAAAAACCTGCGGGGATCAAAAAAAACAGCCCCTTGGACAGAGCATAAGTGAGAACCTGAATGAACTCTCCGTGTCTCGCATCATGCCATGCCACTCTTTGGGGTCGATGCTGTTGCAGAGCATTTGATCTAAGAAGTCGGCGACGGCATCCTGAGTGTTGCAAAGATTCCAGGGTTTCGGATGTGCTGCTCCGGGGCGTGGTGCAGCTGGATATATACGCGGGCCAGGGGGCGCATGCTAGCCAGGGAAACTTGTTTGGAAGAACATCTTGCAGTTACCGGGCTGTGACACTATACTATATTCATTTGGGGGAATGTAAGGATCGCTGGAAGCAACAGTAGAGGCTCCAATGTAATTGGCGCCTCCCTTTTCTATTCTGGCATGCAACTGCTTAACACTTTCTAGATCCGACGATTCCGAGACTGCGAAGAATCATATGGGTCGGAAAGTTGCAAAGCAACCCTGAACCATGAAGTTGGTATTCACATACCCAGGAAGTGACGCCGAGGGTCCAGATTCATGGCGGTTTGTGGCTCGTCCGGCTTGAAATCGTTGGACGTCTTCTTTAGGAAAAACTCGGGCACCTGAGCAGATAGGAACTTGGAACCGAAAGTCCACCGCAACCAATCCTGCAGGAACACCCGGCATGGCGCGTTGCTGAACCGAGGTCTGCGGGCGAAGCCGTATGCTACCTTTGAACGCGCAGGCACTGCCCGTGTCCATGTGCAGACGAGCTGCTGCAAAGCGCACGCTTTCCCGCAGCAGCGGATCCATCACGCCGTAGACAAAGAGACCTGAGCGCGAAAGCATGAGCACGCAGACGCGAGCCTCACTCCGCCCGGCATCCTGAAAGGAACTTACCCGAAAGAAGGCGGCCAAGCCGTTCGACAGAGATGGGACTCACAACTCAGACTCAGAAGATCCACTCTACTGGGTAGGAAGATCCATGCCATGAAAGATCAGGGCAAAGGTGACGTGTAGGAACCCTGCAGGCCGCAATGTCCAGGGTTGTCCCTCCAAACTGAAGGAACCGTAGAGACATCCCCAGTCTTAGCATTCTCAAAGCCAAATCCCGCTTAACTCATCTGAGTCAGTCGGCGTAGGGCCGGAAGGTAGGGGCGCAGGTCTCGCTCGATGTCCTCGCTTCATGGCAGCATGATCAACACACAATCTAGGATAATCACCATCTAGCACTGCCGTCGTTGCTGCTGTTGCTGTTACAGTTGCTGACATCACTGCTGCGATGTTGATGGATGATTTTCGTTTCTTGTGCTCAGTACAATTCCTCGTGAGGCAACTTTGTTAGACATCTCCTCCCACACTGGACCCACAACCCTAAATCGTGCAGACCTCCAAACCTTCAAACCGACCCTGAAGCACCAACGCCTCGATCGCGAAACTCTCGACACTGGATCTCTGAACTGCCCCGAAGCCAAAGACGAGTCTCCTGGAGACTGGGAGAATCCTTCCATCTCCTCGCAGATTTTGCGGGCTTCGACTTCTTTCGATGTCTGATCTCTGCATGGGTGGCATGGACTGGATCAATCAGTAGCATTGTTGCAGGGAAGCGTCTGGGCTGCATGCGCCACATTGCGCAAGGCAAGCTTCATGAACAGGGGCAAATCCATGCTCCGGACGACCGCAAGGAATTTGTCCATGAGGAACTGCCGGAAGGAATTGAGGCCTGACAGCGTTACACCACTGACTTTTTCCGCATGCTTCAAGCCACGCGTACGTGTCTCGAGCCTACCCTAAACTCCTCAACCCCAAACCCCAAAC